AGCAAGCCCCACTGCATTGGAACTGTCCGGACCTCCTGAAGCTGCAGTGTTGACTCCAGATGGACCTGTACGCTATCAATCCCTAGCGGACATCTATGCAGAGACGGAGGCGATTGATTTTCCAGCAGAGGAATTGTTCCTGATTTCTAAAGAACCTGCGAGCTACATTGAGGCTGCAACAGATCAAGAATGGCGGACCGCCATGGAGAAGGAAATGGAGGCCATCGAGAAGAATAAGACTTGGGTACTCACGGAGTTACCGTGGGGTTCTAAACCCATTAGTCTCAAATGGGTATACAAGCTCAAGAAGGACAATGAAGGCAACATTCTCAAGCACAAGGCAAGACTTGTAGCAAAAGGGTACGTCCAGCAGCAAGGCGTGGACTTCGATGAGGTGTTTGCACCTGTGGCGAGACTCGATACCATCAGAATAATCCTCGCCATATCAGCACAGAATGGGTGGGAGGTGCACCATCTGGATGTGAAGTCTGCATTCCTAAATGGTGATCTCCAGGAAGAAGTGTATGTGGTTCAACCTGAAGGGTTCGTTGTGAAGAATCAAGAGCACAAGGTCTACAAGCTTTCAAAGGCACTCTACGGTCTACGCCAAGCACCTCAGGCATGGAACACGCGCCTCGACAAGTGCATGAAGGGCATCGGATTTGCAAGATGTACTCAGGAGCAGGCGGTATACACCAGGAGTAACAGAGGGGATACACTCATTGTTGGCGTGTACGTGGATGACTTGATCGTTACGGGCTCGAGAGCGGATGAGATAAAGTTTTTCAAGCAACAGATGATGAAGGAGTTTGAGATGAGTGACCTTGGATTGCTTTCCTATTATCTTGGTATCGAGGTGGATCAGCGAGATGATAGCATTGCACTAAGGCAGGCGGCCTATGCGAAGAAAGTTTTGGGTCAGTTCGGCATGATGGATTGCAACCCGACCCAATATCCCATGGAAGCAAAGCTAAAGCTTGGAAAGGATTCTGAAGGAACACCGGTGGACGTAACGGAGTATAGACGCCTTATTGGATGCTTAAGGTATCTAACTCACACCCGACCCGATATCACATATGTCGTGGGGATTGTGAGTAGGTACATGGAGCACCCTACAGTTTTGCATAGACAGGTTGTCAAGCATATTTTGAGGTACGTGAAGGGTACTATGTCCTACGGATTGGTGTACAAACGAGGTCGAGGCAATGAAGAGTTGGTGGGATTCACTGACAGTGATCTTGCGGGAGACGTTGATGACAGGCGCAGCACAGGAGGCATGACATTTTATCTAGGTGACAGCTTGGTCACTTGGACATCACAGAAGCAGAAGACGGTGGCATTATCATCCTGCGAGGCAGAATTTATGGCGATAACTGCAGCAGCGTGCCAAGGTCTGTGGCTGAGGAGTTTGATTAGCGAATTGATTGGGAGTGAGCCCAAGCCGGTTACACTTTTTGTTGACAACAAGTCCGTGATTGCCTTGATGAAGAATCCAGTTTTCCATGGAAGAAGCAAGCATATTGACACACGTTTTCACTTCATTCGTGAGTGTGTTGAGCGAGGACAGATTAAAGTGGAGTTCGTGAGCACGAGCGAGCAGCGAGCGGATATTCCCACGAAGGCACACTTGGAGTCTCGTCCAGATTAAGGGGGAGAATGTGAGTTTGTTAATCAGTCCGAATTGTTAGTTTGAGTCCAAGTGATTAGATAGAATTCTAGTTATGGTAGAATACTAGTTAGTGGATAGATTCCTAGTTATTGGATAAAGATTAGAGTTGTAATCTTATTCCTATATATATGTAAACAATCTTTGTAAGTAGTAGAACGTGAATACAAAGAAAATTTCCTTCAGAATTGTTCCTCTGCTCCTCTGTTCGTTCTCTCAAAAATTCAGCCAGGTTTCCTGCAGAACACGTCTCTGTTCCAGCTCCTCGTCCCTCCTCAAAATCAGCCTAAACCCTCATTATTTACAGATTTGCATATAGCTTACAGGTTTGATACTTCAGGCCGATCCTATTACAAAGCCTACAACGTTGTCGGGGTTGTAGAGCGGCTGGAGGCGAGGTAGGGACGGCGGTGGCGGCTGTGCATGGTGCGGCAGGGCAGCGAGGAAGGGCGGTTCGAGCGGCGGTTTGGGCGGTCGCGGGTCGTCGGAGCAGCGGCCTGGGCGCGGTTTCGAGTGGGTGAGGCTGAGGTCGGAGGGCGGTGGTGATGGGCGTCGTGGCAGAGGCGCGAGTGGAGGCTGTCCGGGGGTTTTTCAGAGCAGACGGAGGCGGCCGTCACTTTCAGAGGGAAGCAGCGGCCAATGAGCGCGGTTTCGAGTGGGGATGAAGCGTGTTGAAGGTCTGACGTCGGAGCTCGGCGGTCGGCGTGGAGGAGCGTGCTGCAGGGCCTGTGTGGCGGTGAGCTCGGGGTCGTCGCCGCTGGATGGCGCGCAGTGAGGAGCCAAGAGGATGTGCTATGGGCTCATGGGGGAGAGGGGTGAGATGAGTTCTTCGAGTTTGAAAAGAGAGATGAGAGAGAGAGAGAGGGTACGGTGAGACGAGATGGAGAGAAAGAGGCTGAGCTGTGAAGAGTTTAAAAAAGAGGGAATTTTTAATTGAGATAAGAGAGAGTGATGGTGAGTGATTGAGTGAGAGAGAGTGGGACGTGAGCTTTTAATGAGAGAGAGAGTGTCAGAGAGAGAGAGAGAGATTGAGTGTGAGATTGGAGAGAGAGTAAGAACGGCGGAAGATTTTATTTAGAGAGAGAGAGTACGTGATAGGGTGGTTGGGTGGATGTGGGTTGAGAGCTGGGGGAAAACACGAGGCGGAGGGATTTGCGTGAATTGGGGAGAGATATACAAAGTGAACACCGGTGAGAGGAAAAACACAGGGAAAAATACCCCTTTAAATAATTTAAAAAATATCATAAAATTTATTTAGAATAAATATTAAAATTTATGGTCAAAATAATAATAACAATAACAATGATGAATAATTAACTATTTATTTAAAAATTTTACCAAAACAATTAAATTTATAATTAGCAAAACTTATTAAAATAACATAATATCGTATTTTTAAATCGTAAAAAATTCTAGAGAAATTGGGAAAAATACAAATACTCTTTTAGAAAAATAATATTTAATATTTAAATACCAGAAAATTATTTAAACCCGTATTGAAAATTTACGGTCGTTACAAATCTCATCAATGAACTCGTCGCCGTTTTCATCTCCGATCTCATCTCCAATCTCCTCTCCGATCTCATCTTCAAGGCCAAGATCTCATCTCCAATCTCATCACTGAATCTCGTTGGTTTCAGGTATTTTCTTCTTCCCTATTTTCTAGGGTTTTCTCCAGAAATTGAGCTCAGATCTCGCTAACGGGAGCTTTCTAGGGTTTGCTCCACCTATCTCTTCTCACGATATCTGATCAAATAAGGAGGTTCCATCTTTCATACTAGAGATCGAAAGACCCCTCCCTTGATTTCAGGTATTTTTTTCGTTGCCTTCGTTGTTTCCTTGATAATGACTTGCCAATATATTCGTTATTTTCGTTTTAATTGATGATGATAATATGAGTTTTCTCGTTACTGTTAGCATTAATGAGCGATTGATGTGCTTGATCTTTGTTGTAATTATTCCTTATAGTCTTACATTGACTGGTTACAGGTACGAGTGAAATGTATTGTACGAGTGAAATGCATTTAAGGCTAATCTGAAGAAATAATTGTTATTAATGGCAACAAGAGGATGGTTTGATTACATAGTTGATTTGTGTTTCTGATTATGTATTATATATTCCTAGGAGCTAGTGTTATGGTTGTGATATCATTTAATCATGCATGCCTATTGGTAAGTGATAACTTATGTTATGTTGGTTGCTCGAATTTCAAATTTAGTTAGTAACAATGGTTACCATGGTTAACATTTTCCTGGTCCAGTTCCTTTCGACTTACAACCCCCGGTGCCTTTTGCCCATCGAGTTATTGGTTAGAAAGCTGTACATGGACAATTGTCATATGTGTTTCGGCTCCTACCAGAATGCCTAGTGGATGTGTTATAGTTTCTATTAGACACTTGAAGATGGGTTGAACTGCTACAGTGAGTATTTTTTAAGTGAATGCCTAGTGCATATGATCTTACTTAAAAAATCATATGGCTCATTGTTTGATGTCCTTAACCAAGTGTTATCTCCATGCATTAAGTGGCTAGGACCTTAGTTTGTTATTTTTCTCTGAATAACAGGGATTTTATTTTATGGTCAATATGTCCCTGCCATACCAACAGTTTCTCAGTTTTGTGTCGTTAATGTTGGATGCAACTGGCAATCAGCCTACTGAATCTGCTTCCAAAACTCATGTTCTAGAAGAGAACACTGAGGTTGTTACCCCAGCTGGAGGACAGAAATCAGGTTGTTTGTCTTTTAGAGAAGTCTATTATTGTTTTAAATGTTTTCTTTCTTTCATCACCTTTTGAAATATAAATTAGGGCCCCATCTCGAGTGCAAAATACTAGAATTTGATGATTTCCTAGTTTTGATGTAGGTGAGTGATTTTATCTCTCTTTTTTAATATAAAAGAGAAACTGTAGCTATCTGAGGATCAATTGTCTCCTTATTTACTAATGTTACTTGAGCTTTTTTTTCCTTGCAAATTACCTTTTCAGTTTGTTGCTAACATGATATTTCATACGTTTCTTTATTTTTTTGTAGGGCATATAAAGACTTAAATAGGAGAATGCGGTCAAGATGGCTTTGATATATGAATCTTTTGGAACAGACTTGTACTTTTGAATTGCTCATATTTTGATGGTTGTGAATTGATCATATTTTGATGGGTTGAAGTTACCGTGTAACTACTTATTTTTGAATGATGGGCTTAAAACATATGAATGCTTCATTATTTTTTATTTTGATGATTTAAAACATATGAATGCTTCATTATTTTTTATTTTGATGATATCTTAATGTAGTGTGTTCTTATTCCATTTTTATTTTGGTTTACGTAACTGTGTTTGCTTATTGGTCAAATTTCTTGAAAAGTGCTGATATAGCCCTGTAAAACTGTTGCCGTAGCCCTATAAAACTGTTGCCATAGCAAAGCAAAACGTCGCATTAGCTACAAAATAAATGTTGCATTTGGTCCCTGATTTTGGAAAAACAGCTACCCTTGTGTATGAAACCGCGACATTAGGTATCAAGAAACCATCGTTTGCAACTGTTGCATTTGTAATAACTTTTGCCTTTGTGTATGGAACCGCTACATTAGGTATAAGTAAACCGCTACAGAAAACGTTGCATTTTGTGAAAACCGTTGCATTAGCCTCGTCTTAGAAACCGTTGCGTTAGGTTGTGAAACCGCTACCTTATGGCTAGGGCAACGACAGCAATGAAGACAGTTTGCTAACCGCTGTGCTTGTGCAACTGCAATGGTTTAGATGCTAATGCGACGGTTTTAAACCGTTGCGTTAGAGCAAATATGTGGTAGTATTTTAAATAAATTTTCATAAAGACAAGGCTTGCAAGCATGTTTTGTTAACCTGCAGGTTTGCTGTGGGGTTCGAGATGCACAAATAAATCCGATACCACCCCATCACTACGTCTATTCAAATGGACTTTGGATATATTCAAGATCATGCTCCGACTGAAAAAAAATTGAGCTTCTCATTGCTGCGGATAGTCGAAAAAAGAAGAAATGACCTGTGTATGGAATTGAGGTGTTCTTCCATTAAGTCGTGCAGTTGCATTCATGGTCTCATTATATTGTCAGAAATATTAACATAATATCAAATAACCAGCTTCTGGATTATTTTAGCTCCATATTAATTAGTTTTTTTATCAGAAATCTGATGCCGGCCATCTGACTTGGAATCAGATGAGCACATCCTGGTTGCAAATAATTTGGATAAATACATCCTGGTTGCTAATAATTTGAAGATAACAATTGTTTCAGGTGGCAAAATTCTTAAAAGTGATATCGTGAAAGTATTATGGACAATAAATTCTGAGACTTTAATCAAATACCACACCTGTTTTTGGTTCTGACAGATTATACACTAAGGAAAGACACAACATACCAGACACCATATCCTGAGTAATACTTGAACAAGTACCTCGTCATAATTACAAACAAATTATAACAAATAAATTTTTTTTTGAAGTATAAAATAGGGCAAGGCGCCCTATTTCAAAAGATATATACATCAGAAAATTTACATAGGAATATCCAAAGCAAGATTGAGAGCAATTAAAGGGAGGGGGAAAAGGACCATATAGTATGAACGCGTGTGTTTTCACGCGTTTTGTAGGGGCCACCTTCATGATTCACGCGTGGAAGTTTACTCGTGAATCCCTTTTCGCGTGGTGAGAGGTTTATAAATACATTTGTTTTTTTAGGTTTTGCGAGCAAGGATTTTTGCGGCTGCGGAGAAAAAGCAAAAGGAGGGTTTGTACAGGAGAAAGGAGAAAGTCGGCTGAGAAACAGAGACTCTCTTTTGCTGTTTTGAGAGAGAATTTGAGAGAGAAATTGTGATCTTGTTTGAGGGTTTTATTTGTGAGACTTTGTGTATTTGTAAACCCTATTTGTATTCTCTCTAATAGTAGATCTCCTCCTCCTTGCCTCGTGGACGTAGACAATTTTTCGAACCACGTAAAATTAGTTTGTCTCACTTTTGTGTGATTTGTAATAGTTTACTTAGGTTCTCTCGAAAGGTCAGTCCTAGAACTGATGAGAGGAAGAGCTGATATCCCACTTTGTTGAGATATTTTGCTTAAGGTTCTTGTTTTTCTTTGTGAAACAGAAATTCCTATTACGACCTGACTCTCTTGTTGTGCTGCCGAAATTTTTGTTGCGCGTAACAAGTGGTATCAGAGTCCAGATTTTAGCTCTAGGGTTTTGGAATTAGGTGGAGGAAGATTCTTGTGTGAAGCTTGGTTCTTGGGGTTCTAGGCTTTGTTGGAGATAGCATTAGGAGTTGTCATTGGAGATTTTGCTTTCCTCGTGTGGACAGAAGATCTATTTGGAATACGATCTAGGGTTGAGTTGGATAATTCTTAATTTTTATCAAAGTTTGATTCTTTTTCTACAACTTGGCGTTAGTTTGCAATGGGAGAAGAAGGTGAAAACAACAAGTCAATGTCGAGTACAGTTCAAGTTGGTTTTCAGATCACCAAAATTAGTATGGTGAAGTATGACGGTAAAATCAATTTTGTTTTATGGATGAGCGACATACAGGATGCGCTCAATGCTCAGAACTTGGAGGAGACCATCATGATCCATGAGAGACCACCAAAATACAAAGAGGTGATATGAGAAAAGATGAATAGGAACGTTTATGGGGTGATCATGTCCTATTTGGAACATGAGCTGAAGTATGATGTGATTGGGGTGACGTCTGCTATGAAGATGTGAGAAATTCTTAACAATAAGTACCTTACGAAGAGTGTTGAGAATAGGTTGCGTTTGTTGCATAGGTTATGTTACGAAGAGTGTTGAGAATAGGTTGCTTTTGTTGCATAGGTTATTCATATTCCAGATGTCCAGAGGCACCTCGCTTGCGGCTCATGTGAACAACTATACAAAGTTATTGTCGAACTTAGCAAATGTTGATGAGAAGATATCGAATGAGTACAAGACGATTATCTTTTGGGCTCCTTACCGGATTGGGAGTATGACACCTTTGTGCTCACTTTGTTGAACGGGAGATCTTCTATCAGCTATAGTGAAGTTACTAATGCATTAACGAATTATGATTTGAGAAGGAAGGACAAGGAGACTCCCGTGCTAGTACTTCAGGCGAGGCCTTGTCGACGAGAGGTAGAAGCCCACATCTAAAAGGTGGTAATAGAGAAAGGTCAAAGTCAAGAGGTATTCACCAGCTAGGAAAGAACCAATGTGCATTCTGTAAGGAGCAGGGATATTGAAAAAGAGACTGTCCAAATATCAAAGAGAAGGAGAATAGCAAGAAAAAGGGCCCGAAGGCCAATGAGGTGAATGTTGCGAAAGACGATGGTTCCAATGATTCGAGCTTTTCTCTACTGATTACTCCGGAGGTGAACCACTTGGATGCATCAGATTGGATGCTTAATCCCGGCGCTACCTATCATGTGACCCATAGGCGAGATTGGTTTGCATCTTTTGAGAAGTTCGATTGGGGAGTTGTAGTCATGGGAAATGATCAATCCTATGGCATTTGTGGGATAGGTACTATGCGGATCCGGATGCACGATGGAGTAGTTCGTGAATTGAAGGAGGTGAGATTTGATCCTCAGCTGAAGAAGAATCTTATCTCAGTTAGAGCTTTGGAGGCAAAAGGATTCAAGGTGACATTTGAAGACGCTGTAGCAAAGGTTACTAAGGGATCTTTAGTGGTGATGAAGGGAGTCCATAGTCAAAACTTGTATTATCTGAAGGGGAGCACGAAAATTGGCCAGGTTGCTTTAGCTATTTCAGAGACGGACATAAGCAGGCTTTGGCATTACAGGTTAGGGCACACATGTGAGAAGTCACTACAGGCGTTGTGCAAGCAGGGACTATTGAAAGGAACCAAGAGTGGAAAAGTGGATTTCTGTGAGCATTGTGTTCTTGGTAAGAAAACAAAGGTGAAGTTTGGGACTGCTATTCATATGACGAGGGGCATCCTGGACTACGTGCACACAAATGTTTAGGGTCCCACCAAGACGGCATCATTTGGTGGTCGACATTGGTTCGTCACGTTTGTTGATGACTATTCTGTTAGCCCTTATATTTTGATGATGTTTACAACCACCATTATCGGTACTAATGGCTTATTGAGTACAAATGTAGTGAATTCATATATCAAGCATGTTAGTGCCACAGATGGAGGATTGGATGGAATATGCGCTACAACGATGATATCCAAAGGAGGAAGAGGCATAGTGATGAAGCAACGTTATTTCAAGAACACCAAATTCAATTAGAAGCTTCATCCAAACTCAAGCTATATCAAGACTCAGAATTGTATTCTCGTGAAGATATTAGCTAGGTTTTATTTTCTCTCTAGTGCTAGAATGTAGGCAAATAGTTTAGATTTTATCTGAAGCTATTGGGATATCAACACACACTTTTTCATACTTATAGTTTTGAACGTATTTCATAAAATATTATTTTTCACAAGTATGAGGACATATTTGCAAAATTCCTTTTCCAAACAATTTATTTTTGGTATTAAAAACATTTTACAAAGTCTCACAATTTTCAGAGGTCAAATAAATATTTTACAAATATTTTAAGTGAGTCAAAATATCTGTTTTTGAGTGTATCAGATTGTGATCGACCCCCACGGTCGACCGCGCCTGAGCTCACTCGTCAGTGAGCAGCAGAAACTTTCACGGTCGACCGTCGCGGTCGACCGTGAGCAAAAAATTTCCCACGGTCGACCGCCACGATCGACCATGAAAGTCTCTGGACTTTTGGTGAGTTTCTAAGGTGCCTCGCGGTCGACCGCGAAAAAGTCACGGTCGACCGTCGTATGTTTTAAATGGTAATATGGTACATGATCTCAGCGCCGATTTCACACGATCTCAGCGTTGTTCTGTTTCTAGGTTTTGGGGGATTGGTTATGGGTTTAAACAACTGTGATTTTCTATAAAAACCTATCCTCTTCTTCTTCCTCATTGTCCCAGCTCTTTTAGATATTTTCAGAGAACGTTTTTATAGAGCAAAATTTTTAAACATGTTTTCATCTGAGTTTTTCTGTTTGTGTCTCACATCCCAGCTTCAGTGTTATCTTCTCTTTGCCATAGGGACATTGTAAAGAGAGGGTTCTTACACCATTTCTACTATTTTGAGAGCTTGATCTTGTGTAGATCAAATTGTGTGGGAGTGTGATCTAGTGAGATCTATTGTGTAGTGTGAGATCGTGA